TCCCCACTGTCTTCTTCTTGTTCCATTATTGCAGGTCCGATATCTCCGGGGGTGGAGGTCGAAGCCGTTGGGACGGCGCGCAGGCGAAGAAGACCATCGGATGCGGGACGTTCAAGATCCATCTCTTCAGGGTGCGACCACGTCGGCGTTTCTGTGGGTGTTGTTTTCAGCAGAAGCGTCCCGTCTGAGTCGCCAGTGTTACCCTGTGAGTCGAAGTTCAATACGAAAACGCCGTCTCTGTCGATCGCCTTTTCGATGTAACTGTTCTTGTAGAATAACTCGAAGGTTTTGTCTTCGCAGTTGCTTCGTATGTCAACTCCACACTTCATCAGTTGAGCTGCTGAGAGAAGGTTGAACTGAAGATCGGCAACGACGAGCACATCTCCGATGTGGATGGTGAAGTTGGTGTCGCTTGACTGCAGGTAAACTTCTCCGGTGTCGTAGGCTTGGAGTCGCTTGTTGTTCGCGACGGTGATTTCACATGGTCGTCGCATTCTCTTTGAGTTACTGATGTATCTCATTGACCCCACAATGTGTTGTCCGCAGCAGCTATCAAGGTACCAAGTGTTGAGGTTGTCGCGGCTTTGTCGCGCGATGCTGGCGAGCTTCGAAGTAATGATGCGGTCAACATCAACATAATGAGGCGACATATCGTTTTCGTGCCTTGCGGGAAAGCCGGGAGGAGACTCCGGCGTGCTCGGAGGCTCGAAATCAGGTGGGAGGTTTGTCGGCCTGTCGAACCAACGGCTGATTGTTGGATCGTTGTCTCGACTTGGTGTGATTGGATCGATTGGCGCGATTGGCGAGAACAGAGTCCCGTCGTAGTAGCGAATGCCTCTACGACGCGCCATGCAACTCGGAACTGACCCTTTTCCCTTGTCCTTGGCCGTGATGTGCGCAGGAGTTTCGGAAGTACTTACGACGGAGGGTGGGGCCATTGTCGCCGTCGCGGCTGGCTTGGAAGGAGGCACCGAAATTTGTTGGTTGGGTGAGTTGCTGCTGCGTCTTTCGTTAGCAGCTTTCCGCTTGTAGCAACGGTCCATGGTGTGGCCCGGTTTCTTGCAGTATTTGCAGAAGAGCCCTTTCTTCTCGTGTGACTCCCCTTCAGCTGCGCCAATGTAGAATGCTAACTTCTCCCTTTTGCCATTTTTCTCGTTGTACAGGCCGATCTCCTTCTGCTCGGAGAGGAGTGTGGCGCAGAGGGCGGACTCGAAAATTGTTGCTCGAGCGCGAAGCAATGACTGACACTTCTGCCAATCTGGTCCTAGTCCAGAAAGGACTATGGAGACGAACATGTCGTAAGGGACGGTTCCGCCGCACTTTTTGATATGATCGCGCAAATTGCGGCACCGATTGATATATGGTCCCGCTTTCTCCTCTTCATTCATTTTAACCAGTGTCAGTTGGATGAGCAGGCAACTCATGGTAACTGGATCTGTTGCCATGTATGTATTGAACAGGTGCTCCCAAGACACTTGCGCAGGAGCCCACTCCGTTTTGAAGGAACGGATGCCAAGCTGCTCGACGGGGGAGAGATTTCGGAGAAGAGCAGTGTATGCGAGGAGGGACTCGTGGTAGTACTGGTTCTTCTCCTGGAGAGTTCCTTCTGTTGGAAGAGGTAAGCTCCCGTCGTAGTACATCCAGATTTGCGCGGTTGTTGCGAGGAGTCCAAACTCGAAGCTCCACGTGTATAAATCCTTTCCGTCGAATATGGTTGAGGTCTTCAGCTTTGATGTCATAACAAATTTTGTTTGCATGGTTGCAATTGCCTCTTTCTGTGCGCGTTGTTGATTGTCCTACGCATGAGCTGAAGCTTGACGGTTGTCAAACGTGAAGGATCTTTCGGAGTTGACGCGGCGGTCTTCTCCTAGAAGAGGTAGTCCAACAACTCCTCTGGCGTAGCTTGAGCCATCGATGCTCATTGCTTGATGGCTCTCAAGAGTGTTGATGCAGGCAACGAGTTGTTCAACGATGGCGGCGCTGACGGAGGTCACCGCTGATGGCGCATTAGTCGTTGCTGGTGGTGGGCCCGGAGAGTCTGCAGTAGCTTTCCCTTCAGGAGCCATAGTGATTCAGACTTGTAACAAGTATTTTAATGGATAAGTTTATAAAGAGTTTGTTTTAGGAAGAACAGGAACTTGGCAGATCTTATAATCCACTCTATCTCTCATACCATGTTGATATAACCGGGAATCGTAGTGGATAGGATAAGACTTGCTAAGTTGTGAGAAGACAATAAAGTCTTGTAATGACCTTGTTAATGATAGTTGAAAGAGAACAAGATGATTTTAAGATACGGGTACAAGGATATAAATAACAATCCTAGCTAGCCATGTACCCTGAAGGGTACATTCCCTTATTAACTGCATTGCATTGCTACAATAGCCGCAACTATTGCTCTACTCGACAGTTACCATATGCATCGTATAACCTCCGAGTACAGTTACTTGGCGGTCAACAGTTGCGACTGTTGACTATCTGCGACTGTTGACGTTCGAGTGACTCTCAATCTGCTGCGTGCTCTACACGAGCTTAACGCGATCGTGGTACAGGAACGCTGCCTCGTTATGAAGCGATGCGCGAAGTGAAGTCTTCGGGAATGTTATCATAACCATCGGTTATTCCAACAGTGTGGGTATAAAAAAATGCATATAATATACAAGAAATATATAATTAGTTTAGGTAATTGACAAGAACCGCCAAAGTGCGCACTAGTGCGATTCGATTTATCAAGTTTGAAATGTTTCAGGAAGATGGGAGGTCGAACGAAGGGTGTGCATTGGCCTGCCATTGTATACGCAAAAGGAGAGAGTGCGCGCAACCACCACAAGGGTGCGCACCAGTTCCACATCACCGGATGACGCGGATACGTACCAACCAGAAATATCTCTAGCCCACTGTCATTTAGCCATTGCGCCACATACCCATCTACGCAGAAGTCTTGAAGAAACCATAACCATTTACTTGTCTCATTACATCACGTATGCACTGCGAATGCATGATAAAATTGACTTGATTCTGCCACCCTGATACGGGGATTATCCACGCTAGATTAAGGTTGCCCGAGACATGCGCCTAGCTCGAGTTGGCGCACATATGAGCACACAAATGCGTTAGATGTATTGCGGTTATGAATCTTTTTTTCTTGAGACAGGAGCGTAACAAGTAAAAGACCCCAAGGTATTGACAAAACCTATCATGCATCAACCCTATACACGTGAAATCACTCTTTGTATTATGCAATTTAGCTAACTTAACCGTAGCATGACAAAACCTATCATGCATGATATAACCACCGTGCACCATGTTCTTCTCCCAAGAAATGTTTTCCTTCCGAAGCTACAATGGCAAGAAACAGGGTGTAGTAAAGTTCCTACCAAATAGCGCCGAAAATTTCCCGGGCGCTTGGTCTGGAGCTCGAGGCTGGAAAGTTCTGGAGCTGAGGTTGGTCGGCCCAAGGGCCAGGTGTTCTGGAACTAGTGCTAGGCGATCACCTACGATGTTTTGCGGGCTAGGTAATTGGCTGCGACACCCATCCTCAGTACGCAAGCGACGATTCCGATATTTGGTTGCGCACTTCCGGCGCGATTATTCATGAAGGTCCGGAAGGGCTACTAAAAAGCGTTTTGGCAGACCTCGAGATTAGGTTCTAGACCAGCTCGCAGAAAGCCACCGTGGGTGGTTCGGCTAGACCTGGTCCAAGCCAAGCTTGTTCAAGCTCACGAAAGCGCATCCACCGAACGAGAAGATTTGTTATGGCTGATCTGAACCACTTTAGCTTAGACTCGGTTCCTCTGGCCTGGGCCGAACCGGAAAGACTGACACTTCAAAGGTACTGTAGCCGTGGCGGGAAGAGTGGGAGGTCAGGGAGAGAGGTGTACACGGCATGAAATCGGGGTGCAGTCGTTGGCACTTGCACCTCCCCGACAGAATCCGAGCCTACTTTTTGCGGTTGCGGTTGCGGAATGAAGTTGCCCATCAATCAACCCGTGCGTCCGTTCGTGCTCGTGCTGAACAAAGTTTGCATCACTAACCGTGCTAGAGCGTACAGAAACCAGCTCAATACGCTGGGATCTTACCCAACCGACTATACTGACCTCTCAAATCCGCCCTCTGGATGAATCTCGGCTAGCCATCCCCGTGAGAGTGGAGTGAACAGGTAGGGCAGAGGTGAACGCTTGCAAGTGTAAATACAATCACACAGGATAAATACTGTACAGACACACATCACAGCAGAGCACCACAGCAGCACACCTGGCATCCACACACGCACGTGTGTCCTCCAGCACATCAGCCTGCCAAGCAGCACCAGAAGATACTTTAGGTCACAGAGTGTTCTTGGCTAGTGCAGCTCCTTAGGTGGTGTGTCTTTATTCTGGCTGTTAGTCGACTAAGTCTGACTATGTTACCATTCTTAGCTCACCACCTCTGTCGCTTACCCAACGATACTAATCCCATCAAGGTGTTACCAGAATGTCAAGCTGTTCGTCCTCGTTAAGGATATTAACATCGTTATGTTCAACACGGGCGACTGCTGCTTGAATATGTTGCCCGCCTAACTTTTTCCTACCGCTCTCTGGCCCTATTGTTTAAGATTGTTAACTCGAAAAGCGTGACCTTAACCGCACTCGCAACGGTCCATTCCAGTCGCGCGCAGCCTATCACAAAGGTTAGATAGGCCAAGGTCGGATCGCTCTTCCCGGATCGCACTAAAAAAGAAATATATAATTGTTAGGTCGTTTCGTGTAAGGTTTACTCGGAAAGGTCGACGGCTCCTTATATCATATTGATTATATTTCGGCTCGGGGATGGCGGAGGGGGAGGCTGTACGGTGTCGCACAAGTCTTGCCGCGCATCCGATCTGCCCGCAACAACCGTCGCAAACAGTACAATGCCGTCGCAGCCGTATCACACGGACAAGAGGAGCAACGGAAGCGACAGTAGCGACAGGGGCGACGGGAGGGATGGGAGCGATGGGGGTACATCGGATCCGTCGGCTCATGCTCTCCGAGAGAACACTTGCGACCCTTCTTGCACTGCTTCTATCAACGATATTGTTTTCGGCGCGCGTTCCGCTCGTGGACGCCTCACCGCCTTCCGCCACGCAAAGTACCTCTTCTCTCCCCCCACCAGATCCGTTCCTCCCAACCTCGCTCCCCCACCCACGTTCACTCCGCCCCCCTCCCCGTTTCCTCCCTCTTCTCCCCCCTCCCTCCCGCCCGCCTCTTCCTCTCCTCTCCTCTCGTCTCTCTCTTTCGCAAAGCGCTTAAAGCACGTCGTGGTTTGTATGTCTCTCGACCGATGCGCCTCTCCGTCCGTCTCTCCGGAGCAACCCGTGTTTCCTAACAGCCACTAAAGCGCTGTTGCCTTTTCTACTCCCCCGACATGGCCCTCCAACTCTTTTCCCCCACCGTCGCCGCCTCTGCCCCGGCCTCAACCTCTGCCTCTGCCTCTCCCTCTTCTTCTTCCTCGTCCTCTGCCTCTGCCTCTGCCTCTGCCACTGCCTGCCTCTGCCTCTGCCTCTGCCTCTGCCCCTGCCTCTCCCTCTGCCTCTGCCTGTGCAGTGCCGGCATTATTGGAGCTCAAGACGAGCCTCGATCCCACGGGGCAGGTGTTGACGTCATGGAACAGCGAGGATGAATGCGGGGCATGGGTGGGCGTCACGTGTGACCCGTCCACGTGGATGGTCGTGAGCATGTGAGTGAAAAGAATGGTCGTGAGCATGTGAGTGAAAAGAATGGTCGTGAGCATGTGAGTGAAAAGAATGGTCGTGAGCATGTGAGTGAAAAGAATGGTCGTGAGCATGTGAGACGGGATGGTCGTGGTCGTGAGCGCGCGGGTGGAACGTATGGTCGGGATCATCATAGAGCAAGGATGGCCGTGAGTATGCACGTGAGTGCTTGTGGGGTCGCCTCATATCGGCAAGTGCTGGTTCAGAACACGCGCTGGCAATCGTGTGCACGTGACTGGTCTTTCGTAGGAATTGAATCGGTAACGAAAACGGGAGCGGTGAAAGGCCGAGTTGCATGCGAGGCAGGCACATACGGCATGCGGCGTATGGTGGCTGACGAAGAGATTAAATCTTGGCGCTTATGGAGACGTCCTATGCAGGTAGTGTGTGTGTGCTTGAGTTCGGTGTGTGGTGGATCAATGGGCACTAAGATGGGCGAGCGGATGGGTGGGTGAGCAAGGGAGGTTGGTCTTTCCGCATTTCCGCCCTCCGTTGCCGCTGCGTATTGACCCATCCCCTCCTATTTGTCCTCATATCTCTCCCATCCCTCCCCAACTGCGCCCATGCCCTGCTGTCTCTGTCCATGTTCAATGTCATGCGGTTCCATGGGGTGCCATGCGGTGCTCTGGGGTGGCATGCGGTGCTCTGGGGTGCCATGTGGTGCAGATCGTTGGGTAGCCAACAGCCGCCACTCATCGGCAGCATCCCTTCCGCCGTCGCCACCCTCGCCACACTCACCTACATGTATGCATGCATGCCGCTGCTCCGCATCCCTTCATGTTCTAACCCTTCTCGACTTGCTCCATCCCATCCCATGTCGTGTCTGCCTTCTATTGTGTGCATATCCCACTACGAAATCCCTTCTTTTGCAACATGCACGATCTTAACTATCAGAGTTTCAACACTCTCACATGCTCTTTCCACGTCTGCTCACCAGCTTGTCACCTCTGCACTTCTCCTCTCTCACTCCCACTCTCCTCATTCCCTCGCTTCTTCCTTTCCCCCCCTCACCCCTCCACCCCCGCCCTCCTTTTCGTTGTTTCCTCTCCCCCTCCTTCCGCGCACTGCCACCCATGCCAGCGATCTGAGCAGCAACAACTTGACAGGCCCACTCCCCACTGCCATTGACTCTCTCTCCGACCTGCAATTCCTGTACGTCCTTGCAATTCCTGTACGTGCCTGCCCTTCCTGTACGTGCCTGCCCTTCCTGTACGTGCCTGCTGCTGCTGTATGGTGCCTCCGCTCTTCCATTTTGCAACCACGCTCCACTTCCTCAACTCCCTCCTGTTCCTCCTTTTCCTCCGCCTGTCACCGCACCCCTCTACTGTCTCTCCATCGTGCGCTCTGCTGCTGTGCTGTGAGCAGGCAGCTGCGGCAGAACAACTTCTCTGGCAACATCCCACCAGCCATTGGATCCCTCTCCAAGCTCACTGGCCTGTACGTTCCCTCCACTCCACCACACACATCCACCTGCCACTCTGCTGCACTGCCACTCTGCTGCACTCTGCCGCTCAGTCACGCTGCTACACTCTCATGCCGTAATGTCTCCCTTCCAAGTGCTGCCCTGCAGGCGTTGGTGCGTGTTGCCTTTATCAGCCTGCCTGCTTCTCCTTCAGCCTCCCATCCCGACGCTCTCTTTTCCTCTCACCTTGCTAGTCTTCTCTTTCTCTTCCCCACTCCCCATCCCCCTCCTGTCCCTGCTAGTCTTCTCTTTCTCTTCTGTACTCACGCTCCTCTTCTCTCCTCTCCTCTCCTCTTCTCCTTCCCGTTTTTTCCCACTCTCCGCGTCCCCACGTGGCTGCCACCTGTCTCCCTGCCAGGGACCTGTCGGAGAATCAGCTCGTGGGCTCCATCCCAGATGTGCTTGGAGGCCTTTCCTCACTCAAGAACCTGTATGCGCCCCTCGCCCCTCCTCCTCCTCCTCCTCCTCCTCCTCCTCCTCCTCCTCCTCCTCCTCCTCCTCCTCCTCCTCCTCCTCCTCCTCCTCCTCCTCTTCCCCCTTCCCCCATCCACCTAATTTCTCACGCACACATTTTCCACTGTACCTCATCCTTCCTCTTGGCAACCACGCCTACAACCTCCAACTGCACCTCACCTCACCCCTGTTCTCTGCTGTTGTACCGTTGCGTATCTTCCTCTGTCCACTATATCACACACACACACACTAATCCCACTCTTTCTCCAACTCAACCCCCATCTTCCCCGTCCCCCCGCCACAACCCCTCCCTCCCCCCCCCCCCCACACCCACACCCCTCCCCGCCCCTCTCCCCCATGCTGCATCCGGGCTTGTACGCCCCTGGCTTGCATCCTGCAGGGTTCTGAATCAGAACCAGCTCTCGGGCTCCATTCCCTCGTCCATTGGTGCCCTCTCCTCTCTTGAGATGCTGTACGCACAGCTCTCAGTTACCATGCCACTGCTAAACACGCCAGTTGTTGATTGCCCCCCACTCATGGACGCACTCCTCTCCACTCCTCTCCACTCCTCTCCACTCCACTTCTCTCCACTCCACTCCACTCCACTCCACTCCACTCCACTCCACTCCACTCCACTCCACTCCTCTTCTCTCCTTCAAGCACACCATCAGCTTACACACCACCTCACTCACTACACTGTCGGCCTTGCCATTACCTCACCCATCACCCTCTCGCCGCTCCCCCGCTCCCACCCTCCCATCCTCCCTCCTGCCCTTTCTCCTCTCTCTTTGCTTTTCTTCCTCGCTTCATCTACCTTTCATCCATTCCATGCACAGCTGTCAAACGCCCCCCCATGTCTTCATCCGTTCACCTTGCGCCATCCCTTGTTAGATGGTCGTTTCTCATCTGCGTGCTGTGCTGAGGGGCTGTGATGCCTCTTCCCCTTCAGCCTTCAATTTCCTCCAAGTCCACCGCTCCTCGCATTGAGTGCCCTTTCCCTGTCGTTTGTTCTCTCTCCCCTCTTCTCCGTCCCCCCTTCTCTCTTCCATTTCCCATGCTGGTGCATGCACCAGGAGTCTTGAGCTCAACTCTCTCGACGGCTCTCTCCCTCAAGCCATGTCGTCTCTGCAAAACGTCAACAAGATGTAAGACCTGTCTTGACTCTCAAGCCGCATTGAGTCACAAGCCGTCTTGAGTCTCAAACCGTCTTGAGCCTCAAGTCGTCTTGAGTCTCAAACCGTCTTGAGCCTCAAGCCGTCCTGTCTAGTTGCACAGGTCGCCGTGCGTCCCTAAACCCTAAAGAGCACATGTAGAGACTGCAAGCCCTGGTCGGTTACAGAAAGCAGCTGCACAGAGCACCTGTCGTTTCTTCTGGTAACCCAAACCAGGAAGCTGCTCAATCCACAAGACCCCTCTCTTCCCAACAGCCGTTCTCCACATCACACACCCGACTCATCCCATCTGATCCATCTCCCCCCATCTTTCCCTATCCCCCTCCATCTCCCCCCACCCCCCTGCGTCGCTCCCTCCCGCCGCCATGCGTGTGTGCAGCAATGTGCAGAGCAACCGTCTGTCAGGGCCGCTCTTCCCGCAAGTGGGTGCGCTCACCAAGCTCAAGTACCTGTGAGTCATGCCATGCCATGCCATGCCATGCCATGCCATGCCATGCCATGCCATGCCATGCCACGGGACGACACGTCACGACACGTCAGGGCACACCACAGCATGACACGTCACGTCACAACACAACACAACCTCCCCCCTCCCCCCTCCTCCTCTTATGCTCCAACGGACATGTACCCTTTTTTGCCTCTTCCCTCTCCCCCCTCCCACCCCCTCCCCCCACTCCCCCCATTCCCCCCCCCCAAACCCCCACTCCTGTGTTGCCACATGCGTGGGCGCTGCAGCACGCTGAGCAACAACGAGCTGTCGGGCTCCATCCCCTCAGAGCTCGGCGCGCTTATCTCTGCCAGTGACATGTGAGCAGCGGTTCAGAGCGGTGGAGAGCAGAGTGGCTGAGTGGGGTGGGCGGGAAGAGTGGGGGTGAGAAGAGAGGAAAAGGGGGTGAGAGGAGAGGGGGTGAGAGGAGAGGGGTTGAGAAGAGGGGGTGAGAGGAGAGGGGGTGAGAGAAGAGGGGTTGAAAGGAGAGAGGGTGAGAGAAGAGGGGCCGAGGAGAGAGGGGGTGAGAGGAGAGGAACGTGGTCCTGACACATTGGGTGCAATAATTTGGCCCTTTGGTTTCCGAGGACAGCGAGTGGAGCCAATTCCTACCTAGCGGGATGCGCTTTGCGCTGGTAGTGCGAGATGCCGGGCTGCAGTGGGTGTCAGCAGGTGCTGGGCTGCATCAGGTGCTGGGCTGCATCAGGTGCTGGGCTGCATCAGGTGCTGGGCTGCATCAGGTGCTGGGCTGCATCAGGTACCGGGCTGCAGGCGTAGCAGACAACAGCAGAAGCAGTAGAGGAAAGAGACATGACAGAAGGACGGGCTTGCCAGTAGTGTGGTGGGACGGGGGCATGGGGCATGGGGGACGGGCTAGCTTTTCTGTCTTTGTTGTCCACCCTCCACCCCCTTTCCCCAACCACCCATCGCCCTGACCATCATCCACATCCTCGCTCGTGTTTCTTTCTTCCATGCTGTTTCTCCCTTGCATTACTGTACCATGCACTTCCGTCTTGTTTTTTCTCACTTGCCCTTCCTCGCCCGCACTTTCTTCTGTGCACTTTCTCTCATGTCCGTTTACCTGTTCTATTGTGTTCCTCCATGTGCTGTCTGTTGCTACTGATACTGATACTGATACTGCTGCTGCCGCCGCCGCTGCTGTCTGCTGCTGCTGCCTGGCAGTGACATCAGTATGAACCGGTTTACTGGCAGCCTTCCCGACAATCTAGGAGGCCTCGCGGGACTGCTCACCCTGTAACCTTGCATGCACCTCTGTCTCCGTTTGCATGCTCCTTTGTGTTAGTCTGTAAACACTTTCATCTACATCTCTTTGCACCACTACGAACCCTGTATTCTTCCTCCTGCGCTGGTTCTTTCTTATGTGTCTCTGGTCTCACCTTTTAGTCGTGCACCTTTCTCATCTCACCGTTGCCATCACTGTCGCTGCCATAACCGTTTCACCGTGACCGTATGGTGGTGTTGCCTTTGAATATTCTCCAAGGTTTCACCGTGACGTGACTGCATGGCTGCATATCCATCCATGTATGGCAGTCTGGCGTTCTACAACAAGTTTGTGGGGCCCATCCCTCCCTCCATCGGCGGCTGCCGCTCCCTTTTCAGCTTGTAAGCATGCTCACGCTCACTCTCACACTCACACCCTGCCTGCACCCATGCACCCATGCATGCACCCATGCCGTGCACACATGGTACTGCACATACATACACACACACACCCATGCACCCCCATGTACACATAAAATTTCACGTACAAGTACACGCGTCCACACATACACCCATGCATCCATGCTTTAGGCAGGAAGTTCAGCCCAAGTACCAAATTTGTGATGTTGCCAGTTTGGCTCGGTTGGATTGGGTTGTGTGAGGTACAGCACGGTCAAGGCTTGGATAATGCAGCCCAGTACGTGCGGCATGATGATGTGCAAGCGCAGGAAGCTGCATGATGGAGGCGCCCATGTAGGATGCAAGCTGCATAATACTCCTATTCTATGTGGTGGTGCGGATTGTTGCATTGTGTGTGGGTGTGTGCGGGTGTGTGACCTGATGGTGCGAGTGCAGGAAGCTACATGCGAACAACTTCAGTGATAGCATCCCGTCCACCATATCAGGCCTCACGTCCCTCCGGATGCTGTGCGCTACCTGCTTGCTACCCCACCACTTGCACTCCCTCCCTCCTGCTCTTGCACATGCTTCCTCTGGCTCGTGCACACGCTCGCTCTCCCCCTCTTGTGCACTCTCTTTCTCCAGCTTTGCATGCCGTCTCGCCCCCTCTTGCTCGTTCTCTCTCCTCTCCCCCTGTCGCACTCTCTTTCTCCACTTTTGCACAACCTTTGCCTATCACACTATCTCGTCCATTCACCCCACACCCCCCAACAAAGAACGAATCATTCACCCGCCCTCCCCTCCCCTCTCGCCCCCCTCCCCCTTCTCAGCCCCCTTGCCCCCATTCCCTGCTCGCACCTATCCCATTCCTACACACTCACCTGCTCCTGTCTACTCCCGTCTCCCCTCTCCCCTCCGCCTCTCCCCAATGCACCAAGCAGGCAACTGTCCAGCAACAGCTTGACTGGCAGCCTGCCAGATACCATCAGTGGCCTCAAGTCCCTCACCTTCCTGTATGCCCGCACCGTGCATCATGCACCATGCGCTATGCGACATGCGACATGCGACATGCACTATGCACCATGCATGCACCATGGACCGTGCACCATGCGACATGCAGCATGCGCCGTGCAACATGCACCATGCACCATGCATCATGCACCATGCACCATGCACCACACACCATGCATCATGCACCATGCACCATGCACCACACACCATGCATCATGCACCATGCACCATGCACCATGCACCATGCATCATGCACCATGCACCATGCACCATGCACCATGCACCATGCACCATGCACCATGCACCATACACCATGGACCATGCATCATGCACCATGTACCATGTAGCATGCAGCATGGACCATGCACCATGCACCATGCACCATGCACCATGCACCATGCACCATGCACCATGCACCATACACCATGGACCATGCATCAGGCACCATGCACCATGCGCTGTGCACCATGCACCATGCACCGTGCACCATGCACCATGCACCGTGCACCATGCACCATGCACCATGCACCGTGCACCATGCACCATGCACCGTGCACCATGCACCATGCACCGTGCACCATGCACCATGCACCTTTCTGTTCCGTCGCATTCTCCCTCTCGTCCCCTGCCTGCTCTCTGTCTCCACGTATCAACACTGTGTGTGTGCCATTGCACTCTCGCTTTACTCAAATCTCTACCCCCCCCTTACTGCCCACTTTCTTCGCACTCTCCCTTTCCTTGTTCCCTGAAAAGCTTTCTGTCGCCTTTTCTCTCATCCACTTTCCTCTTCATCCACCACTCCTCCGCGCCTGCCTTTTCTCCCCCCTCCCCCCCATTTCCTTCCCCTGTGCTCTGTGTCAATACCCCTCTTCCCGCACATTGCTGCCATGCCATGCCGTCAGGGATGTGAGTCAGAACAATCTCAACGGCTCCCTGCCCTCATCCCTAGGAGAGATGACCACACTGCAGCACCTGTGAGTCACCGCAGCACCTGTGAGTCACTGCAGCACCTGTGAGTCACTGCAGCACCTGTGAGTCACCGCAGCACCTGTGAGTCACTGCAGCACCTGTGAGTCACCGCAGCACCTGTGAGTCACTGCAGCACCTGTGAGTCACTGCAGCACCTGTGGGTCACCGCAGCACCTGTGAGTCACCGCAGCACCTGTGAGTCACCGCAGCACCTGTGAGTCACTGCAGCACCTGTGAGTCACCGCAGCACCTGTGAGTCACTGCAGCACCTGTGAGTCACCGCAGCACCTGTGAGTCACTGCAGCACCTGTGAGTCACTGCAGCACCTGTGAGTCACTGCAGCACCTGTGGGTCACTGCAGCACCTGTGAGTCACTGCAGCACCTGTGAGTCACTGCAGCACCTGTGAGTCACTGCACAGTTTCAAAGTTTACCCTTCCGTTTCACTTGCCCCCACTCTTTTGTTAATGGTCATTGCCCAAGTTATCTCTCCTCCTACCCCTCTTCCCATTCCCCCCCCACTCTCCATCTCCCCGTTTAGCACCTCCCCCATTCTCTCTCATGCTCTCCCTTACTCTCCCGTTCCCATGATTTTCTCCCACGCTCCTGCGTTCTCCCTCCCCGTGTGCCCTGCGCATCCATGGGCACACACACACAGGGATGCGAGTGTGAACAGTCTATCAGGCATGCTGCCTACCAGTATCAGCACCATGCAGTCCCTGCAGCTCCTGTCAGTGCCACTCTTCCTGCCTGCCCCCTTCCCCTTGCCCCCTACCCCCTGTCCCTTGCCCCCAGCCCCCTGCCCCCTGCCCCCTGCCTGCACCCTGCCCCCTGCCCCTTGCCCCCTGACCCCTGCCCCTTGCCGCCTCCCCCCTGCCCCTTGCTGCCTCCCCCCTGCCCCTTGCCCCCTGTCTCGTGCCCCCTGCCCCCTGCACTTTGCCTTTTTCCCCCTGTCCCCTGGGACCTCTCCACAGCCCGCGCATCTAAGCGGCTTTCTCTCTATGCCTCTTTCCCCAACTTCCATTCTTTGCAGTCATGGCGTCCCTTCCCCGTGAGAACCCATCTTAACACAAATTTGCATTTTCCCATGCCCTCCCCTAATCTCTCCTTCCCTCTCCACCTACTCTAAAATCCTCATATTCCCCACACTCTACCCCATCCACCACCCCTCTCCTTGTGCCCGCAACCCTTTGCCCCCTCCCACCGCCCCCCCCCTTCTCCTCCCCCCCCACGGCCTCTTGTACTACCGGCTTCCCCCTTCCACCAGCGATCTCTCTTACAATGCCTTCTCATCCAGCCTCTCTGCGGCCCTCCCATACCTCTCCTCCCTCACCACTCTGTAAGTTCTCCACTGCTTCCCCTCTGCCTTCCCTGTCTCCTCAGCCGCACCACCCCCCTGCTGGTGCGTCTCCGCGAGTGTCGCACGCACGTCCGTTTCTCTCAGCCAATGAGCGCATCTCTCTCCCTATAGCACGTCTCACAAGGCCTCGTGAACGCAGTCGCAAGATGCGCTTGCGTGTTCCAATCAGCCTTTTCACGGACAGAGTCTGTCCGACGTACCTCTCAGGAGAGAATAAGCCGGCCCAGGGTCAGGTGTGGGGAATGGTAGCGCCTGGTTTCTTGAACAACTACAGGAGAAAAGGAGTGATGGTAGGGAGTCGATGAGGGGCACACAGCATGGCGTGACTGGGCCCGTGCGCCCTCATGTTTACTGGTTTGGCTGATGTGGTCTTCTCTGCGCTCCTCTCTCTCCACTCCTGTGCATTCATCTGCCTTCTCTCTCTCTCCTTCCCCCTCGTGTGCTCTCGTGTGTGAGCAGGGATTTGAGCCACAATAAGATTCAAGGTGCTCTCTTGCCAGCATTGGCCACTATGCCCAAGCTCTCCATTCTGTGAGTGAAGTCCAATCCATTCTGATTCCAACGCATGCAGAGCCTCTTCCTCCGTCCCGTGTGCGTTGCGCCTCAGTCTGACTGACTGTTGCACCCCACTGCACCCCGCTGCACTCTATTGGACCCACTACACCCCTCAACACTCCACCCGACTTTGCTCTTTAACCGTTTCAAATTTCTTCACTTGCTGATTCTGTTCCTTTTTTTTGCGCCTCTTTCCTTCCCTTGTGTATTATTTTCTTCGCCCCACAGCAAGCTGAAGGCTAACTCCCTGGACGGCACAGTTCCCAGTTCTCTCGCTCCCCAACTCTCTTTTCTGTGCGTCCTCCTCACTTCCTTCTGCTCTTCCTCCACGTGCCCTCTCTTCTTTCACGCTCTTTTTTTTTTTCCCTGTCACACTCTATTCTCCTTGTCCCCCCCCTCTCCTTTCACCCTTGTTTCTCCCTATTCCCCGTTCTGCCCGTTTGCTTGCTTCTACCATCGGTTGTTTCTCCTCGCTGCCCTTTCCTTTTCCCTTCTCATACACGCAACTCTTAGTCGTTCTTTGTGGCAATGCCAGTTATAAATTTTCCCGATTATGAATGATCAGAAACGCTTGGAGGTGTGTAAGCTCCAAACACTAAACACAAGCGTTTCCAAGCAACACGCCTTATAAGTGCCATTGCCTTTTAGCAGATCTCCTCTGTCCATGTGTGTGTGTGTGTGTGTGTGTGTGTGTGTGTGTGTGTGTGTGTGTGTGTGTGTGTGTGTGTGTGTGTGTGTGGTTGCATGAGTGCGCACACATGTGTTCATGTGTGTGGGTGTATGCATGCCTGAGTGTATGCGTGTACATGTACGAATGTGTGCATGCCTTCTCTTCCCCCCATGGCGTCTCCCCATGCCTGCAGTGATGTGAGCTCCAACGCTCTAGTCGGCCCCCTGCCAGTATCTTACTTCAGAATGGATAACCTCACATACCTGTACGCCCCTTAAAATGCACAGTCTCACAAAATCTTTACGCCCCCTCTAAAGTGCACAATCTCACATATCTCCTCCCTCCCCCAATCAAGTCCTCTTCGGTCCTAATCTCTCGCCGCTCCCTCCGTTCCTTGTCCCCTTTTTCCATCTATCTCCCTCCTTTCCACTCATGTCCCACTCTTCCTTCCTCCGTTTGTCTGTCAGTAATGGTTACCAATCTTTCATGCACATTCACATATCGACTTAAAGCAGCAGCCATCCTACAAGCGTGATCGCCCCACTTCCAACATGTGTCATTCCCTCCCCACCCTTTCTCTCCCCCTCTTCTCTCCCCTCTTTCCCTCCCCTTCTCTCCACCATCTTCCACCCCTACCAGCTCGTTCGGATTCAACAGCTTCACAGGTCGCCTGCCTAACTTCGGAGCTCTCACCAAGCTGCGCAAACTGTCAGTGCCCCCCCCGTTTGCCTTTCCCACAAGGCCCTGCCCTTTTTCATTCCTGGCTCTGTGCTCGTCTCCCAGCCTGGCCCAAATCATCTCACTTGTTGTGCCCCTTGTGCTATCATCATCTTTGGTGTCTGTTGCTCTGCATGTCTGCTGCTCTGCCTCTACCCCCCTCACCCCGTCCCTTACTGTTGTGCGCTGCTCGTCCCGCCCGCCCCTCCTCTCTGTGCGTGCAGAGACATCGTAGCCAACCAGTTCTCAGGGTCCCTCCCCCCCACCTTTGCACCAAGCATCGTGTCGCTGTACGTTCTTCCATCGCCTCCCTCTGCCCCCATTCTTGTTGATTGGATGCCTCCTGACCTGACCTTCCTGCTAGCCGTTGTTTCCATGCGTCGTCCCCTTCCCCACGTCTTGCTCCTCGCCTTATCTTCCCTTTTCTATACTCTCGCTTCTCACATACCCCTTCTCATCGTCGTCTCTATCCCATTCTCGTGGTTTTTGTGTGTGTGTGTGTGTGTGTGTGTGTGTGTGTGTGTGTGTGTGTGTGTGTGTGTGTGTGTGTGTGTGTGTGTGTGTGTGTGTGTGTGTGTGTGCGTGTGCATGTGCGTGCGTGCGTGCGTGTGTCTGTGTGTATGTCTGTGTCTGTGTGTGCTCGATCATTGAATCATCACACAGGGAGATGCACGGCAACAGCTTCTCAGGGTTGCTGCCTAACAGCCTCTCTCGCCTCGTCAACCTACAGTCACTGTTAGCTCACCCTCCTCCCAATCCTCAACCCCCCTCCCCACCACTCTCCCTACAGTTCCCCTCCCTCTCACACACACTCGCCATCACACTCCATCTCTCCCATGTTCAGTAGCCACTGTCTCTCCGTCTTTGGTTTGGATGACCTGCCAGCGTTGACCACTGTTTGCCTTTAGCCTGTTTGTCATTCTCTCACCTCTTGTAATCCAATCCCACCCCCTCACCACATCCATCCGTCACCCTCCCTCCCTCCCCATTCCTCTGCATCCTCCCTCTTCTCCTCTTCCCCTCCCCCCCACTCCCCTGCCCCTCCAACCCCTTTGCTGTTGTTCGCTTCTGCTACCTCCGCCCTGCGCCCTTCCACTCCCTCTCCGTCCCCGTGCTTACCACAAAATCCAGGGACATGGCACGGAACAACATCTCAGGGGGTGTGCCGGACTTCCCTCGGGCGGCGTCGCTTGTCTTTTTGTCGCTCATCAACAACATGATCAGTGGGCCTGTCTCGCAGGAGTTGAGGAACCGGGCGCAGTTGGAGCTCAGGTGAGTTTAGTTGGAGCTCAAGTGAGTTTCGTTGGAGCTCAGTTGAGTTTAGTTGGAGCTCAGGTGAGCCCAGGTGGACCGTGGAACTGAGGTGGCGTGGCAGTGAGGCAAGTCGAGGGAAAGCGAAGGGCCTGTACTTGCAACTCCTGTTGCACACCCCTCCTACTACCTGCATTTGTCCCCCTCTGCTCCTTCACATCTCTTGCTTCGTCTCTTTCATCAATATCTCCTCACCCCTTCGTACACCCTTCCAACTCTCCCCCCCCTTCCCCCCCCATCTACCCTGCTCTCCGTTCTTCTTGCAAGTCCACCACCCGCCCTAAGTGCGTCCCTCTCAACCAACTGCCCAACACCTCTCCTTACTCCACACCCAATCTCCCACCCAACCAACCCACATGCCCAACACCCCTGTGCGGCCGCACCCAGGCTAGCAGGCAACCCGTGGTGCAGGGAACCCGAGAACCAGCTGCTCTCAGTCTGCTCCGCCGCCATCAGCAACGCCACAATAGAATGGACGCCCCCGGAGATCTGCCCGGGGCTCACATGCCGCAACAAGGAGACACAGGCCGCCAACACCGCCATCTACTCTGATAATGGCACGTGCGAGTGCTCGGATTTCCTGTCGGTGACGCTGCTGCTCACGTCCGCCCCCTTCTCCGTGTTCACGAGCGACATTGCGAATAAGCTGCGCGCCGAGCTGGCAGACCGGCTGAGGAATTATATCTCCGGGGCGCCGCTGCTGGAGCAATCGCAGGTGCGCTGCAGTGGGCGTGGGGGTGGGTATGGGTTTTGGGGGGTTGGTGTGTGGGGGTGGGGGTGGGGTTGGGTGCAGGATTGGGTGCGGAGGTGGGTGTGGGGGTGGGTGTGGGGGTCGGTTTGGGGGTGGGTGTGGGGGTGGGTTTGGGGGCGGGTGTGGGGTGGGTGTGGGGGTGGGTGTGGGGGTGGGTGTGGGGGAGGGCTCAGCCTTGACATACAAGCCAAGAATGCAAGGCAGGGGAGGTCCTCAGAACTGCCCTTTTCCTGTGACGCAGGCATGGAATCAAGCCGTTGCCCTGCCTCCCTATCTCAAACTCCCTTCCGAGTCTTCCGTTTCCCCCTTCACCCTTCCCGATCACTTCCTCGCACCCCTGTTCCCTCTCGCCATTGTTTTCCCCAAGCGTGGGTGGCATCAGGGGTGCAGGCGAGCATAGGGCGAATCCTGGATCCTCGGAGATTGATACATTGAGCTGCGTTGCTTAGGAGTCGGTTTTTTAGCAAGTAGGAAAAGCAGTGTGGACTTCTGGAGCTGCTCGTTTTGGTTCCACAGAAATCGAGCCAAGCCCTGCGCTCCCTCCCTCCCACTCTCTCCCACCTCTTCCGCCTCCCGCCTACCCCTCCCTCCCCACTCCTTCCCCCCCACCCTTCCCCTACCCCACACCCCCCCCCCCCCCCCCCCCCAACTTCCCCCCGCACTCCCACGCCCCCGGTTCCCTCTCTCCTTTGTCCCCCCCCAGGTGTGGGTGTCGTCAGCGGTGCAGGCGAGCACGGGGCAGGTGTTGGAGCTGCACTTCTTCACGCCCCAGGGCGGGCAGTGGGACGTGGCGGTGGAGTCCAACATCCTCAACCAGCTCTTCCTCGGCTCCAAGTACAACCAGCTGCTCGGGGCTGACTTCGGCCCCTATGTGCTCATCTGTGCGTGCTCATTGGGGGGGGAGGGGATGGGATGGGCGTAGGGATGTGGGGAAGGGATGCGATGGGGCGGGTGGGGCTGGGGTGGGATGGGAGAAAGGGGAGCGGATGGGGATAGGTGGGATTCGATGGGATGAGATGCTGTTGCTAGGTCAGGACGCAGGGGGTTCTGTCTTGCTTTTTTTTCAGTAGGGAAAAAAATAATGAAAAAATAACTCGTGTTCCCTGCCCGTTGTTCGCTCTCTCCGTTTTTTTACCCTCCCCCCTTCCCATCCTCCCTTCTTCGCCCTCCTCTCAACCCTCTCGTCTTGTCAACCGTCCTTTGCTCGGGCCTCTGTTATTGCCTGCCCGCTCTTTTTCATCCCTTTGCCCCTCAATGCACATCCACCCATCCACTCACCTTGAATCACTCCCTTGCATCCCTCCCCCTCTCGCCTTTCCCTTACCACGCCACCCCTCACACCTTTCGCCCCTCACCCCTCACTGTCCTGCTTCCCACCTCAACCCTCACTGTAGTCGCCTGCTTTCTCGTTCTCGTTCCTTAACCTCTCCATGCACATCCAACCATCCACTCACCTTGCCTTCCTCTCTTCTCCCTTTCACCCCTCCACCTTCCTGCCTCCCCACCCCTCTCACTTTTCACCCCTCCCACACCCCTCGTCCCACCCTGCTCCTCTCTCCCCTCTCCCCTCTCCCCCCTCCCCCTCGCCCGTCACCCCTCGCCCCTGACTGCCACCACCAGCGTCTGCGTCCTCCACGCTCTATGGCCCCAGCGATCCGCCTCCTGGCCCACCACCACCCCCTGGTATGCACTGCACAGCACAGCCGCTATTGTATCGTATCACTCCCCCCGTTCGTCTTATTTGGGTGCTTGTTCCTTGCATCAGCTTCTCTCGACTCGGCTGCCCGTTGTCTGGCATGCAAGCACCCGTTTCCATTGGATCATTGCATCGCATGCTGCTGCTTCTCACCACCTTTTGTCACCCATCCGCCTCGCTGCCATCTCCTACCCCTCTATGCCCCTGAACGCATATCATCTATCATCCCCTATCCAATGCCAACAACCTCTTCTCATCCTCATTCTTTCGTCCCCTTGTGCTGCTCCTGTGCCTGCTGTCTGCTGCATGCCCTATCCCTGCAGATTCATCATCTTGTAAGCCTCTCTCTCCTCTCACGCACCCTCCCATCCCTGCATCTATCTATCCACACATCTGCATGCTGCCCTTCCCCTGCATCCCCGCCCATCCATGTCCTCATGTCTTCGTATCGCCATTTCTCTGCCTTCTCGCTCCCTTCGTTCCCCCTTTCTCTCCGCTGCACCACTTTCGAGATTTGAGATGGTTCTGCTCGCTGTGTTTTCAGTGTTCGCCATCCGCTCGCTTCCTCCCCACACATCGCTTCTCCCCTTGACCCCGTCTCCCCTCTTCCATCCCTCTCCTGTCCCAAGTCTCTGCATCCAATCTGTTTTCTCTCCCCCTCTCACTTGCCCCTCTCCCTCCACCTTCCCATCTTTCTCGCACCCGCTTTCCTCCTCTTCTCCCTCCATCTATGCCTCACCCATTTCCCTGCCCCTCTCCCTGCCTCTCTCCCTGCCCCTCTCCCTTTCTCTCTCTCTCCTTTCTCCCTGCCTCTCTCCCTTTCCCTCTCTCTCCTTTCTCCCTGCCTCTCTCCCTTTCCCTCTCTCCCCCCCTTCTCCCTGTCCCTCACCCTCCCTCTCCCCCCGCACAGCCTCCAACTCGTCCTCAAATGCAGCCGACAGTGGCGGGGGCGGGCTGGCGACGTGGGTGATAGTGGTCATAGTGCTGGTGGTGCTACTGCTGCTCACTGTCATTGTCGTCCTCGCCGTGCTCTACTCGCGTGCACGCAAGGCCAAGCCTCCCACCCCCCCTGCGCCCCTCTGTACGTGCACGGTCTAGCGTGTCCTCTCTCTCCTCTCCTCTCCTCTCCTCTCCTCCCCCCTTGTGTGATCACAATGAATGATCCATGCCTCTCTTAGGTCTGCGTTCCTTCCTCTGTTCCTTTCTCTGCTCTGTAGGATCCAGATATCCCACCCACCGTGTCGTTCGTCTCGTTCTTGCAGTGCTCCTTACCTTACACTCACACAATGTGCTGACTATAATTCTAAAAAACCTGGCGCACCAGGACCTCTGTTTAAAGGCAGTCCCTCTCTCATAACCCTCCTCCCCTTCCATCATCCTCCCATCGTTCCTCCATACTCTCCTCACGCCTCTCGCCTCCCCCCAACCTTTTCCATTTCCCTCCCTTCTTCCTTTCCATCTCTTCCCCATCCCATTCCTTTCAATCAAGGCACAGGATCACTCTGTGAATGCCATCAGCTTACCAGTGGTCCTGAAGGCCACTTCAGTTGACTCACAAGTCATCCCCTTCCGCCCTCTCCTCCCCCCCTCCCGCTTCGCCCTCCCCCCCTCTTCCGCCTCTCCTCTCCCCCCTCTCCTCTTCCCTGTCCCCCCTTCCCCCGTCCCCCCAGCGCCCAAGGACTACTCACGCCTGTCCGACCTGTCGATCAAGGTCCAGGACCATTTCGTGAAAGCAGTCAGCCTGCCGGTCATCCTGGAGGCGACGCAGCACTTCAGTCCCTCACAGCTGCTGGGGGAGGGCGGGCACGGGTCGGTGTACCGCGGGCTGGCTCCCACAGGGCACACGTGGGCCGTCAAGCGCAGCAAGATCGTCAATCTCAAAGGGCTGCAGCTGTTCCAGAACGAGGTGACAGGGGGGGGAGGGTTCGAGGGGGATAGGAGAGGGGGAGAGGGGAGTGAAGGGGAGGGAAGGGGAGGGGAAGGGAGGGGAGGGGAAGGGAGGGGGGGAAAGGGGAGGGAAAGGGAGGGGAGGGGGGTAGTGAGGGCAGGAGGCTGCAATTCGGTTGGGGAATGGGTTGTGGGTGGATGGTGCTCCTGTTGGCTCTGAGATGAGTCTTGAGTGGACTCAAAAGTGACTGAGGACAAGCACGTGAGGGGCAGGTGCGCGTTTCAAAAGGAGAGATGCAGGGACAAGAGTCCCATAGGATTAACTCCTGCACTTTTCTTTGTCAATCATTGCCTTTCTCCTCCCCATCCCTCTCCCTTTCCCCTTCCCCTTCCCTCCCACCCCTCCCCCTCCCCTTCCCCTTCCCGCTTCTCCTTATCTCCGTGGGCGTCCCTTTCCCCCCGGTCGTCTTGCCCTCCCCTCCCTCCGCTTGCCCTCTTGCTCCTCCGCTTGCCCTCTTGCTCCTCCGCTTGCCCTCTTGCTCGTCCGCTCGCCCTCTTGCTCCTCCGCTTGCCTTCCCCTGCCCCGCAACCGCAACCTGGTTAAGCTGCATGAAGGTCACGCTTCGGGTATTCCCAAAAGTCTTTCTTGCTCGTCCCACTCCTCCCTCTCCTCCCGGCCCTTCCCCTTTCCCGCAGGTGGACAACCTATCCAAGGTATCGCACCGCAACCTGGTGAAGCTGCTGGCGTACTGCGATGAGGCCAACGAGCAGATCCTCGTGTACGAGTTTGTTGCTAATGGCAGCCTGCAGGAGCACCTCCGCCCCAAGGAAGGTGCGTTGTTGTGTGCTGTGCACGGCACGGCACGGCACGGCACGGCACGGCACGCTGCTGTATACTGTAGCTAGCAGCACGGGACAATTTCTTTTGCACATGCTCTGTAGGAGGCTTCCGCGCACTGCTTATGGTCCTCTGCTGCTCTCCCTATTCCTCTCTTCCCCCTCCCTCCTCTTCCATCTGCCACCTCTCGCCTTTCATCTCCCGGCCTTTGCTCTCCCCACTCCCCCTCTCTTCCTCTCTCCCCTCTCCCCCTCTGCACCTATCCCTCTTCCCCCTTCCCCCTTCCCCACCAGGCCACCCGCGGCCACCATTGACGTTGGAGCAGCGGGTGGATATAGCGATCAAGTCAGTGGAGGGGCTGCACTACCTGCACTCATTCATCCTCTTTCATCTTCCCCTCTCCCTCCCCCTTCTCCCCTCTCCCCATGCTCTTCTCTCCCCCTCTCCCAACCTCTCTCCCACCAGGCCACCCGCGGCCACCATTGACGTTGGAGCAGCGGGTGGATATAGCGATCAAGTCAGTGGAGGGGCTGCACTACCTGCACTCATTCATCCTCTTTCATCTTCCCCTCTCCCTCCCCCTTCTCCCCTCTCCCCATGCTCTTCTCTCCCCCTCTCCCAACCTCTCTCCCACCAGGCCACCCGCGGCCGCCGTTGACGCTGGAGCAGCAGATGGACATAGCGATCAAGTCAGCGGAGGGGCTGCATTACCTGCACTCCTTCCTCCTTCTGTCACCTCTCGCCTCCCCTTTTCCTCTTTTCGTTCACCCCTCTCCCCCTCAGGTCACCCAAAGCCGCCGTTGACGCTGGAGCAGCGGGTGGACATAGCGATCGGGTCAGCAGAGGGGCTGCACTACCTGCACTCCTTCGCCAGTCCCGGTATCATCCACCGTGACGTCAAGTCCGAAAACATCCTCCTCACCGACAATCTCGAGGTGCGCGACTATCCTCACTCTTCACCCATGCCTGCCTGCCTGCCTGGCTGAATGAGTGCCCGCTGCCTGGTTGGCTTGCTGGCTCGCTGGCTGGGTTGTTGGGTGGGTGAATGGGTGGGTGGGTGGTTGTTTGCTGGCTGTTGCGTGGGTGGCCATGTGGTGCGCTGCACTACCTGCACTCCTTCGCCAGCCCTGGCAGCATCCACCGGGACGTCAAGTCCGAAAACATTCTCCTCACAGACAATCTCGAGGTGTGCCTTTAGGGGGAGTCCAACTCAAACGTTTACAGTTGATTATTCGTGGCTCAGAGCGGTTCCATACGGTGTAGAGCGGTTCTTGCGCTTCACCGCCCTGCACCGTAACCAAACGAATTAGACCGCGAAGAACGTACAAAGAACGTACGAGCTGGACACCCCTCATTCTCTCTTTCCACACACACCGTGCGCTGCCTGCTTGCGTGCTCAGCCGCCCGCCTGCCTGCTGGCTGAGTGGTTGGGTTCCTGGGTGGATGCGTGGGCGGTTGTGTGGGTGGATGGGGAGGGGAAGTGGCTGGCTGGTTGCGTGGGTGGCTGTGCAGTGGTATTGACTGTGCATGTGAGCATGGTGACACCAGCACTCCGTCCTCATTGCAGGTCTGTGGAATGCTCATGACTCATGAGCCTCAGTACTGTCACTCCCTCTTCGATCCCCACTCTCTCCCCCTCTTCCCCTCTCTCCCCCCGCTCCCCCCTTCTCCCCCCTCTTTCCTCTTCTCTCACACCTCTCTTTCACCCTCTCCTCTTCTCTCCTCCCCTTTACCCCTCTCTCCTCTTCCTCCTCCCCTCCATCCCCCATGCACAGCCACGCCTGGCGGACTTTGGGCTGCTCAAGAGTCTCAAGGAGGAGAACCGGGACGAGGCGGTGAGCACGAGGGTGGCGGGCACGCCCGGGTACATGGACCCCGAGTATTACAAGACGTTCAAGGTCACCACCAAGAGCGACGTCTACAGGTGAGGGCGCTCGTACCTTCACGCCTGGTGGTACCACTGGTGGTTGGGCATGCTCTAGTGTGGTGGGTGCCCCATTCCACGCCCGGGTACATGGACCCGGAGTATTACAAGACCTTCAAGGTCACCACCAAGAGTGACGTCTACAGGTGAGTGTGCCATCGCTCCACTTAGATCCACGCTCTCAACGACCTCCATGGTCTGCCTGCGCTCCTCATTTTTCTCCATCTCTCTTGGTGTGTGCGACCTATGCTCCTTTGCTCTGCTGTGTCTTTCCAGTGCACACCATTAAAGTCGCTGTTTTGTTTTTCCCCTCAGGACTTTTTCTCTTGCTGTGCTGTCTTCATCTGTTCGTTCCGTCTCTTCAATCTCTAGCTCATCTCCTTTCCATCATTCTTTTCCCGTGCGCCTTCTATTCCCCGCCACCATCCCATCAACCCCTCATTCCATTCGTCCGCACTGTCCGCGCCCTGTGCCCCTCCCTCGCCCCCCCTTGCCAGTTTCGGGGTGGTGTTGTTGGAGCTGATTACAGGCAAGCCACCCGCCATGAACAAGTCTCAGATCTCACACGTCTCTCACTCGCAGTTTGACAACCACCAGCTCATCACCATTGCCGAATGGGTTAGTCCCTGCTCTACTCTCCTTCGCTTAACGCCCATCCTGTGCTTGCGTTGGCCCCCTCATCAGGCTGCTGCCTGTTTGTGCCCTATCAGCTGTGTCGTTGCGTACTTTTAGGTGATGTAGTGCGTTGCTCATCCGGAGCTCCTCTTCTCCCCTCGTCCATTCCCGTCTTCCTTTCCACCTGCCACCATACCCGCTCACACCACCACTCCTCTCCATTCCCCTCCACCCCCGGCAACCACTCAGGCCTTCCCGCTGATAGTCTCAGGCGATCTAGACCTGGTGGCAGACCCGCGCATGGGGCCTAATTACTCCAAGGAGGCGCTGCGAATGATGGCCACAGTTGCCCTGCAGTGCATTCAGCGCAGCAGCGTCGATCGCCCTGACATGGGGGACGTTGTGCGGCTGCTCTCTGAGATCCGCTACGAGGTGCGCGGGAAACGCCCTGCCACCGCGTTCCTCCCGACGGGCGAGACGGATTATAGCGGCGCGCCGCTGGTGCCGGAGGGGTACTCGGGGATTAGTGACACGATTGAGATCACCGCACCCACGTCCATCATTCCGGGCGGAAGGTGATTTTCTGGGAGGTGATAGGGGTTTTTTTTGGGGCGCACGAGTGTATCGTATGGAATGGATTTTCCTGAGGTGGGGATTGGGGCAAAAGAAATGGAGGTGGGTAGGATAGGAGGTAAGCACATGGATCTGCAGTCAGGTTAACCTGAGAAGTGGGTACGGGCGTGAACGGCATGCGCTATCACAGGAAGTACAGATAGGGCTGCTTAACGTGGCACATTCACAGGCAAGCTCCGATGAACATTGCTCTTCCTTGCAGTGCCAGAATAAGAACAAAGGCAACAATGCTTGAGAAAATGCACCGTGTTTGCCTGAATACCGTATGTGTGAAGCTTACCGGTAGGATTGCCACGACTAGTGGATGTTCTGTGCAGGCTAGGCAATGAATCTTGGGCCCTTTGGCACACAGTTGTAATGTGGGAATTGTGGTGAGCTAACTTTATCAGACGAAAATCATCTGACGGTCTGATGTTCGGACATGTTTTCATGGATTCATCTTATTTGTGTTCATATGTGTAAGGATTTACAACTCCTAACTCAACCTGCACTTCAGGGGTGGAAGAAAAAGAATTTCGGGAAGGGGGGCATTTAGGGGGACAAGTAGCAACCCCAACCTAGCTTACACCTACAAATGTATGCCGTATCCAACATTAGACACAGCAAGAGAACCTAGTCCAGGCACACACAAACAATAGGAGCCGGCAACACTAGAGCAGGGCCCAAAATATCAAGGTAAAATACCCTTTTGCCCTGTCTGGCGGCTACTATTTGGGAGTTACCCTTTCCCAAAGAGTGTAATATGATTTTTACCTTAGGTAAAAAGGTGTATTGCTTTTACCCTTTGAAAAACAGCGTACAAAGCTTTTTTCCCTGACCGTATAGGGTATGCTGCGAGTTACACTAATACCGGATCCTCGGTACCGAAGATCCGGCCAGTGATAACGTGTTGCGAACTTGTCACGTGGTCCCACTGCCAATTTTGTCGCTAACGACCTCAAGTGGAAAACTGATAAATTTTGTCGGCAAGCCGCAACTTTCCCCCATTGGTGGTTTGCCCAAGATTCCAGCCAACGCACCCCAGGAAACTGCCAGAACACCCAATGCCCACTACCAACTGTGCCAGGTAGCGCACCAACAAAGGAATGGGGCCGCGATGCGTGAATCGTGCTATCCCACGCTGCACATGGCAGTCAATGTTGCGCATTTTCAGCCATGCATCAGCCGCGCTTCCCGGGCTTCAATCCGTTCGAGGGTGTTTGGGGTTCGTGATTTCCCAAGGAGACCCCTTCTTGTTCGTCCTCCTCTTCCAGTGCGCGAGGGTCTCTTCTGGAGGGAACACTCAAACATTGGGAGAATATGCGAATGGTAACAAACATGGGGCTTTATAACGCGTACGGTAACCATAACAATGCATTTTCACGCGTTTGGTAACTCGATTCACGCGTTTGGTAACTATACACTGGCAAGCCCTCACGCGAATGGTAACTAGAAGAAAACCTCGTCCAACTTGACCCTGATTCTGGGTTTTCCCGCTCGCGCCAGACTGAATTGACGAGTCCTGAAGCACGAAATTCTGACACACTTTCCGAAATTCTGACTGTGAAAATAGTAGGAAGAAGGGGGGGGGTGCACTAGCAAGAATGAGGATACAAATAGCAAACCCTAGAAGGGTTGTACTCGCTATAGAGCACCCCACTACAGGCTAGAGCATAATATTCTGACACACCCCCATAGCCAAAGTGGGGTGTAATCAGCAAAGCAGTACAAGCTCAGGGTGGATCACAATGTCACCACACATTCTGAGCACAAGTTCAAGAAGCAATAGTTTAAAGTTCACAATTATGAGCAAAGCTAGAGGCTATCGCAGAGGGCAAGTGAGGAGGAGGAGAGACTGTGGGGGAGAGAAGATGGGAGGCGACTGCTGACGCTGCAGACACACAGACGAGCTGCTGGCTCAGTGGCTACCGGAACAACGCTCCGGACTACTGGGGTAACTGGCCCCGCGGCTAAAAGTAGCGGCAGACGAGCAACGGACCCACGGGCGACTGGCGACTACCGGAGATTGTAGCCTCCGGACTGCTGCTGCTGCTGACGACAAGACTGCTGCCTCCACTCGACCTCCCCCAAACAGTACCACCCCTCCTGACACACACCCGCTGCTACACCGCTAGCTCCACTCCCCCTTCACCCCCCCTTAGCACCACTCCAACGGCTCCAACAAGTCCACCCCCCCTCAGCGGCAGCTGCAGCACAGGGAGACGGAGGAGGAGGAGGAGCAGGGAACGGCACACAGTAGTTTCACCCCCATACCCCTCACCCCCAAACCCTAATTCAGGAGAACGGGCTGTAGGAGGGGTGGGGCGCCAGCAGAAGCACGGGGGACAGCGGGGAGGGCAGGGGCAGCGAGGAAAGGGCCGCCCACGGGCCTGGCACAGCCTCCCGAACCGCGCGCAGGCGGCCCGAGCCGCGCGCGGGCCTGGCGCAGCCCGTACGGGCCGCGCGCGGGCCTGGCGCAGCCCGTACGGGCCGCGCGCGGGTCTGGCGCAGCCCGTACGGGCCGCGCGCAGGCCTGGCGCAGCCCGTACGGGCCGCGCGCCGGCTGTACGGGCCGCGCGCAGGCCACGACGGGCGACGGGGGGCGACGCGCGGGTCCCCGTCGCCCGTCGCAGCGCCTCCCGAGTGCGATGCGGCGAGTGACGGGGTAGAAGCCCGCCGCGCGCCTCGGGGCGCACAGCGGGCAGAGAACCGCCGCGCGCCACGGGGCGCACGGCGGGCAGAAAACCGCCGCGCGCCTCGGGGCGCACGGCGGGAAGAAAAACTGCCGCACGCCACGGGGCGTGCGGCACAGAAGGTAGTAGTGGAAGTTGCAGCGGAAGCAACGAGGTGGTGAGCCCACCCACAGGATCGATCCAAGGGGATCGACCTGCTCTGATAGCATGTGAAAATAGTAGGAAGAAGGGGGGGGGTGCACTAGCAAGAATGAGGATACAAATAGCAAACCCTAGAAGGGTTGTACTCGCTATAGAGCACCCCACTACAGGCTAGAGCATAATATTCTGACACTGACACACTTTCCGAAATTCTGACACACTTTCCGAAATTCGGACTATTTAGTGACATGTTGCTGTTTTGAAAACCGTGTTTCATATAAAGCTGATATTATGGCTCTCGCAGAAAGGGGATTTTACTTAATTGTATCGTACAACTGGGGCAAAAAATATATACCCCTTTCGGATGGCAAATGATTTTGAGAGCATCACCCTAAACTCCTTGCGACAAGGCGTTCAAGGTTATTTCTACAATAAAGGCATGCCATTCGGAAGGGTGTATTATTTTCCCACCTCCAAAATTATCTCACGTTGAATTTATTACACACAGTTTTAAATACAATTATTGTCGCTTTTCCGGGAAAAATCATCATTTTGCAATTATGCAATTATGCTTGCAAAAATATAATTGTACTTGTTAGCACTATTTGTCCGAGCTTAAAATAGATATGAGACGGCTCTGAAACTATTTGGTCCGTGGTAATTGAACAAACGCGATCCTTCAAAGTTACGGCGGGAATCGTTCAAGAACGATAAAACTGTGCGTGAAATCTTTCAAATTAACAAATGCCTCTTAGTTAGGATCATTTCGGCGGGAGTTTCATCTAGTTACCATTCGCGTGATCATTCGCCTGTGCTAAGTTACCAATTGCGTGAAATGAGTTACCAAACGTGTGAAAATATACTGTAATAGTTACTGTACGCGTTAAAGAGCCCCATGAATGTTACCATTGGCATACTTTCCCCTCAAACATTTATGCCGATCCGCATGGTGGCATTAGAAACGGGCTCTCCGTTCTTGGAGTTCTACCCCGCTTATCTGAAAACTACAGCGTTCCCATCTCCCAGCCACCGCGTGAAGCCTCGCATGTGCGTCACGTCGGGAATGTTTATCCGTTCGAGCCGCCGAACTCACTGACGGCGTTCGAGCCAGACCCCTCACTGCTGCTTGTTCCTGGCGGTGGGAAGGCTCGTCCAAGCCATGCACGGTGTCAACGTCAACTGTTAGCAGCACGCCCGTGAAACGACAGCGGGTTGGTGCGCCCCTCCACCCCAAAAAGAGGCATCACCGCAACGCACTACTGCTCCTGCCGATCCGAAGCCTCCTACCGAAACTGCAGAAGCTGAGTACGAAGCGATTAAGCATAGGTACGATATGAAGTGGGCTGGTAAATTTGCATGGCTGCGCCTTCATCGCATGCCCAACGGTATGCCATCTGTGAAATGTACCATTTGCATGAAACATGGAGATCCGACCGCTCACACGAACCACTGGTGGTCGAGACTTGTTGATTGGAAGCATCCGCGCTCACTCCTCTACCCGATCACACAAGCCGGAACTAAAGAACGAGGCGGATGCAGACGTAGCCAAGGCGAAGCAAGCCACACTCACGCGATGGCAGACGACGGATGCGTCCACGCGCCACATCATCCGCTGTTTGCACATCGCACGCGCCACATCATCCGCTGTTTGCACATCGCACGCGCCACATCATCCGCTGTTTGCACATCGCACTGTTTGTCTGCAAGGGGGACGCCCCGATCGCGATGTTCGTCCCTCTGTGTTGGTTCTTGGCTAAAGAAGGTCTTCCTGACCTTCCCCTTTCTGGAGGCTATGGCGCATATTACACCGAGTAAGTCTCTGTTATTTTGTTAAGGTTGTGTGTTCATCATGTTTTTGTTTCTAACTATGAAATTATTCAATGTGAATTGCAGTTACGGCTTCAAGGAGAATCTCAACGCTTGCACCTGCTGGAATCCCCATGGATTGGGATTTCGCTCGACGAGAGCACAGAACGCATTCACGAGAAACACCTTATCCTCTACGCATCTTTTTTCGAAGGGAACTCGGTAGTAAACGAATTCCTTACCTTGATTACCGTCGACCGCGCTGACGCTGCGTCTTATACTTCTGTTGACGTGCACTATTTCACCGGGATTGGGCTGGATCTGTAG